CTATGATTTAAGTATTCAGTGTTTAATTTAGCAGAATCTGCAAAAGGTTTCGTATACTTTCAACAATCTTCGTCCGCATAGGGTTAATCCGTCGTGCGGTTATGTCACGCATATACTGTCCGACTGAAAAGTTTTGGCAACTATTCTTCTGAGCAAGGAGGAAGCAAGGGAACTCTTCCACTCACGATGTTTGGGCCCACTAGATTTTCGACGAATAGTCGTCATTGGCACGCGGCAATAATAATAGGCGGAAGCTAGGCCGAATAGGAGACTGCGGTGAGATAGAATTCTAGAGAATTTTGTTTTCTATCGTTACGTCTCACTACAACGCATTCGGCCTCGTTTCCGTTCTTTGTTACTGCCGCGCGCCAATAATCACCATATGTCGTGAGTGGAAGAGAACCCCCTTGTCCCTGTGCACTTTTAACTTGGTGGTCGATGGAGCTAACGTGAGAGCTGCACTGTGCCGTCTTCCAACAACATTTGGCAACTTGTCCCTCGAACTGAAGGAGTAAGTGTGGTAAGGGTACACAGCCACTCGCGACGAACGTTGACGCCTCGGTTTCGGCCGCTTTTGTTATTGGCTGATTCGCGTAAACGAAGGTCACAAATGAAGCAGAATACGACGAAGTGAGATGCAAATAAGAAATTAACGCCCATATTCATTGCCTAAGGTTGTATCTCTCTTTGTCGTATCCTGTTTCACTTACAACCTTCGTTTACGCGAATTAACCAATAATAAAAGCGGTTTAAACCGAGGCGTCAACGTTCATTGCGAGTGGACGCGTCTCCTTGCCGCACTTGCCTTTTCAGTTTGAGGGACAAGTTACGAAATGCCGTTGGAGGACAGTACTATATTTGAGATACCCGGGTGCCTTATTCACGTGGTTCAAAAATGAAGAGGGACAAGGGGAGACGCCCACTCGTGGTGCTCGGCCAGATAGTAATGGCAGAATTAGTTTCGACACGTCTTTGTTACTGGCTGAGCCGCGAACTGAAGTGAAGCGTGTGGTCGAGTCCCCTTGCCCCTCTTCACTTTTGAGACACAAGCCGGCTTGACTCACGCGAGTAGCGCACTGTATTTGGGTGTCTCGTATGATCTTATGACAGTTGTTAGGGGTATTTAAGTACAGTCCATTGCAGCGAACCTGGCAATCGTAACGTCGCACAAAGGGTCAGAATAGTAAGAACGTGCGCCAAAGTCAAATTTTCAACTTTGCTAGCAATGAATGAAATTTGGGCTACTAACAGTTTTATAAGAGTAGTTTCTCATCTTACTAAAAAATAAGAGCAGAATCAGATTCTGCAACACCCAAAACTTTAGGAACAGCCTATTTCGTAATTATTGATGTAAAAATAACAGAAATATGAATTTTGCGAGCGTTTCTACGATTCTGGCCGACTGTGCGTCGTAGAAGCAGAAACAGTCGCTCGATAGGTCTGCCTATCCCTCCTTTGCGGCTCTGAGAAATCCAATTGCTGGTCCGGAAATGGCTCTTCGCGCCCTTTGTCGTGTGACTCGATTAGTCTGCGTGATCACCTCAGCGAATCATATACCAGAACTGAAAATTTGTGTGCGCAAGGCCTGCGCCTTCGAATCGCGCCACTCAGATGAGAGTGCCAGGTTCGCTGTAACGAACGGTACTTGACATTTCGGAGTCGAGATGGGTCGGTAAAGATCGAGTGAGCTCAAGCCGAGTACCCGAGACATTCGAAGACTCGTCGAGCAGCTCGATCGCGTCAGATATAGTCACGAGTCGTCTGACACACTCGTGTTAGATTGGCAAATAAGTTTGATCGATATATTAGAGGTTCTATTTTAAATTAAAAATTTACCTACATACATATATTTTTCCTTGCAGTATATTCTAATTAGGAATAAAAGGAACAAGTTAAAGGAAGATATTTTTGATCTACTGTATCAGTATCTAATGTAGTAACGAATAGGATTGGCACTTAAGCGTTTACAAATTCAAATTCAATCTTTTATACAACAATAAGATAGCGCATAGAATTTTCGAGAAATATAAAAAATAGGTATTCTCCTAATGCACTTTAATTATTGTATTTTCAGTCGCATTTAACAACAAAAAAATCAAATTTTGTAAATAATGTCAAACGAAACAGTCTAGCTACTATTTTCTTCGTAAAAATTTGATTTGTAGCACTCAGAATGTTTCCAATGAAGTTTTTTAATTTAACATCAGAAAATTAAATGAGAATGATGTATCATTGGTTCGGATAATCGAGCGTTCAGGTCCTATTCTACCTGAAAATGTCAAAAACATTCACGAACAAGTAAATAAAGAAATATAAAAAGAAAGAAAAACGCCAATGGTTGTAGGATAATAATGAAACATAAGAAACAAAGGACACCGACATCAAATGGGTTGTTAATGTGATTTCAATTAATTTTCGTTGTTGTTGTATTATATTGTATGAAAGTAACTATTTGGGTCCGACGCAAACAAGTGGTTTACAACGAGTTTGCCACGGTGTTTACACGTCTAAATATTCTAACAATTACGAACTCTTTTTGTTAATTTTTCAGATCGTTTCGATCGCAATCCATCAATACATTTATCCATTTGGATGCACTGAACCTTACGATCTCACAATATCGAAGAAATGTCTATAATCACTTCGAACACGACATTTTTTATTCAAATTATAATAGTAGTAGGTTGCTGCCTAAGTTCTGTCCGCCTTCTCGTATAAACAATCTGTCCCTCTTATCGATTCTGCAAATCTTTAACATAAACAGCGATATTTGGGCCTAAGAGAGACTGATGTATGTAAGATATTCTCATTAACTTTTAGACCTTGGAATTTACAATTCAAGTGTTTCAACCCTTTCGTCCCTGAATATGCATTTTTTAAAATATAAATTTTGTGATAAAGGAACTTACTGCTGCATACTAATCAATCAAAACACATGTACTGACAGCTGGTAGGTACTAAAGCTGTCAGTCATAAGCAAAGATTCGCGTGTGGTACAATTTTCTTTCATCTAAGCGTTTTCTAGCTTTCCGGTAATTTAAAATGTTTGTGGTACCAAAATGTACCATTCTGGACGAAAGGGTTAAGTCATCTTCAAGATAACGCAAGACCTCACGTGGATATGGCAACGAAAAAAATAATATTGGAAATAAAACTATATAGTTTGAGGTAAACACAAAATGCTTCCAAAAATCAAATTTACAGCCGATACATTGAAACGGGCGAAACTTCTGCAGCATTCTAATATTACAATATTAACTGTGGTCAGATTTTTCATTAAGCTTTAATACGCCATGACATAATTTACAAAAGTACATGATTAAAGTTGTTTTCGAACATTCGGGGCCATGTCGCTATTAATGCATAGCTACTCTGAGCACGACTAAAATGAACAAAATTATTAAAAAGAATTAATTCGGGTTATTATTAGAACCTACAGAATCGAAAGCAACACCTTATATCCAGATATTGAACCTGCCTTCAGAATTGCCCAACGTAAAACTTATTGAAAACGTGTTGAGTTATTTACATCAAGGTAAACCTTCAAGAAAGTATAAAGTTTAACAAAACTATTTCACTGAAATGAATCAATATGGCAACCTATGAGAAAAATACGTTGCTGAATTAGTAAATAATTGGAAATAGTTAATAATAATTATAAACAACAACGAATCAACGATACATCATATTAATACCTCATGAATGAAAGACAGAGCTATCTAACTTTTCTAAAACTTTACGTTGACAACATTTAGATAAATATTTTGCCGTACAAGTTCTTAATAGAGAGATTAATCATGTTATGGCATTAAACTGCTTTGTGAACAAAATGAAGAAAACCAACCAAGAAAGAATGCATAATAACATTGATTTTCATTATGTTGAATTAAATTAATACTAGTTTTCTTATTGGCGTATCATAATAAGTAAAAGATGCAAATCTCTGTGAACACAAGGTGTTCATGCAGTTACCTGACAGTGTCCTCATAGAAGTAAGTATTAGATATAGTAAAAAGTTCTTTCCGATTTTTTACACTAGAAAACTTTTTACCATTAGAACTACCGCAACTGTCAAATTGAAGGGC